CGTTCTGACGCGATGCAAGTACGGATAACGCTATTTCGATATAATTGAAAAATCCTGATAGACACTTATTATGTACCGCCGATGAGTGGCTGGACGGACGGCGGGACGAGCTGCGAATAGAGGAACGGACGAATGGACGTTGGCATGGTTGGATTTATGAGCATTTCAGTTGTGTGTGTGTGTGTGTGTGTGAGCGGTGCAAGCAGTGCACAGAGTACTTCCTAACATTGGTTGATATTGGTGGCGTTGAAAGTTTACTGAAGTTGTCTAGCCGCTGACCATTTCAAAACAAATTGTAAAAGTAATGACGATAAAGAGCTCATTGTGAGAGATTTAATACAATCTATTTAATCAACAGCCAATTTGTTTATGTTTCCTCAAAACAATAAGCATTTACATATTTCTCTAAGTTGTTGAGTATGAACATACATATGTATTTTGATATGTATCATACACATGCGAGCTTTAGATTTCTAATGAATATTTTTTTGAAGACAATAAAATTTTTAATAATTTGCCAAAAAAAAGTTAATTAAAAATAAACGAAAAAAAATTAAAATTATTAAATGAAAACCCAATAACATCAAATAAATTAATATAACATAAAATTAAAAAAAATACATACATATATAATATAAAATAAAATTAACTACAAAAAATATAAGTAAAATGAAATAAAAAAATGAGTAATACAAAACAAACAATAAAATATGAAAACGGAACAAAAGAATGCAAATTAATAACAGAACATAAATATAACTAAATTAAATAAAATAAATATAAAATAAAATTTTATAATATAATTAAGAAAAATAATAAAAAACAAAAAAAGGTGAAAACAAATCAAATGGAATAAAATAAAATAAAAATAAAAAATATGGAGTTAATACGAAAATAAATTAAATCAAATAGAGTAAAATAAAATAGCAATGAAATAATAATAAGGTAAAATATATTAAAGTAAATCAAATGAAATTGATCTAATATCTTTTAAAAGATATATATTATTATTTTTGTTTTTACATTAATATTTTTATATTGCATTGAAGTCCTCTGATTTATGCCCCGTTTGGCTCGATAATTTTTTCCCATTTTGAAGGTAATGTAATTAAGCGTCTCTCAGGCTTCTTTTGAAGCCAATTCTTCACCAGCGAAAGCATTCGAAAGCATTCGAAGCAATTCGCCATTTAGTGCATGGTCCAGATTATAAGGTGAGTCTACCAACCCAGCTCTAAGCACTTCTGGAGAGTCAATGTCGATGTGTGTGGTCTCGCGATGTCTTGATGAAACACAATTCCCCTTCTGTGGCTAAAGCAGAGCTGTTCGGGCGATTGCTTCCGGTACAAGCCCGAATTAAGAGTTTGACTCTAGCAAATCATACAACAAAGCCTTCCAGGCCATCATTCCTGGATTGAAGACTTTTGGTGCTGACTCACTGCCCTTCGACTAAGACCGTTTTCACTTGACGTTTGCTGTAGGTGATCCATTTTTCATCACGCAGCACTCATACCTCAAACTTCTTTGTGTAGCCAATTTAGTTTTTTTAAGTGGTTCCAAAATTTTATGCAAATCTTAGCTTTTGAGCAATCGGAACAGTGCACGTACACGTATGACGGTCAGACTTGACAATATTCGTTATTTAATCATCATTTTCTACAATTGTTCTTTCACACCGCGGAACATCTCTTACTGATTGACTTTACAATATCACCAAGATCATAAGCACTGGTCATATTTTCAGCTGCCTGACTTGAGTTTTCACCTTTAAGGAAGAGAAAATGAAGAATATAGTGTATTTTTCCTTTGCTCGTGTCCACCTTTGACTTGCGCTGCGCTCAAACATTACTGAGTTAAGTGGTCAACACTTAACCCGTTATAGAACTGATCAATAAAACCATCTATGGCAAAAAAAATTGCTTGTTACTTGTGCTGATATGTAACTATTCTTATAAAATTAACCTTTGATTGGACAAGCCGCTAAGGGAGGCATTTTTCATAGGGCATCGAAGCGCTTCCCGGCCCAGCTCCTCCTTCAATCTGTGGTGTGCCGCTTAATGTTTTTTCCAATAAATAGGGAGGCCTACAGTTTATTCTAAGCCTTCTCCGGTAAAAATGCTCTCTGCTGTGACTTAAGCAATTTTAGGGAACAAGATTGAATATTTTAGCACTTCTCACAGTCCATCGCAACATAAATATGTATGTAGTTATATTTATTGGTAGCCGAGTGGTTAGCATTACGTACTGTCATTCGCTACTAACATCCACAGAGCTACTGAAAATTAATATAAATGAAAAATTAAGTTAAATTTTCTAATTACGGTCGGCCCTCGACAGGAAATGTCAACCTCTCCGAGTGTATCTCTGACAAGAAATAAAGCTCCTCATGAAAAATCATCAGCCGTTCAGAGGCGGCTTAGTATAAACTGTAGGTCCCACCATTTGTTGGAAAACCACGGATTGGAGAAGGAGCTCGGCCGAAAATCGCTTCAGCGGGTACACAGAGCCAATTATATATACATATAAATGCATATAATATAGGTAATATGTACATACATACTCGTACAACTGTGTGAAATAGTGTGTGCACATACATAATTTTTCTCATTTAGTTAGTGGGAAACAAGTATTATATTCTCTCCTTTTAAGGTTTCGTGGTTTAAAAGTGTAAGAAAAACTCGATAAATTTGTTTTTACTAAAAACTGTAACACATAACATATTTTTGTATAATTAACGTTTAATTCGCAATTGATTCTGAAATTGTAACGGCAACGTCGATTTTCGGCATTTAGCAAATCATCAAGCCTTGAATATACTTGAATTTTAATTTCACATTTGTTAACCTTTAACGGTACGTAATTGTTGGGTGGCGTAAGGTCTGATGGTAGTAAAAGTGCAATATGCGGTTTTTTTCAACTCAACTTGAATGAACCAATTTTGACAGCAGTAATCTGCGATCACATACATACGAGTATATGTGAGCCCCACTGCACCTGAGAGAGCTCTTGCATTGTCTGAAGACACTGGTGAAATCTTTCATCCTGCTCCTCACCAAAATCTCCCAGAGTTTGAGAAAATCAGCATAAATGCGACGCTCTTCGAGCTTCGTTTTTGGTTGAACAGTGCTACATTTTAAGAAAATTTTGTACCCTGAGCTCGAATTTCGACTGTGAGATATGGCAATTCTGTCTGTATGAAAGCAACATCAAAAAAAATGAAAATTATCGAAAAGTTGCTGAGGACCGCTTGCTTGTGTTCAAATTAACACAGCCGGGCGCTTATCTTCCCCAGATAACACAAGCTGGGCGTAAGAGAAAAAACACATTTGATGATCTGACCGCAGGTTCATTGTGTATCCCAAATGAGCGAGAGGTGGGTGCTGGGAGCATCGTGGAAGATTTGAGCTCAAAATCGGCTGAACGCCGTGTGACTTGAGACCCAAGTGATGTTCACTGTTTTTCATTGTGCTTTCCTGTCCTAGTCTGTTAATATATGCAGGGAAGGTATGAAAAGGTGAGTGCGGCAGAGGAGTGGGGTGAGATAAAAGGCAACTAAATACGAAACTCTTCACTTCGGGGAGTGCTCGATAGTCCACATTTCTTTTATAACATTTCAGCACAGTGCCATTGGAGCAGAGAAATTAACATTTTTAGGGGAATACTGAGTGTTTTCTTATGAGCATGAAGGACACCAGCCGCGGTTTATTACAGTTTTACACCAATATTTTATTGAAAAATTTTACGAATATTTAATTCTTTTAAGTTCTAAATTGAGTAATCACTCGAAGTTATGTCTGAGCCGTAGGATGGGTGGTTGAAAATATCGAAGTACTCTTATGCAGTGCAGCGAACGCAGCGCGGCTCTTGCGGTGGTGTTTTTTGTGTGGGCGTGAGCATTCTCGGCAATCATCTTGCGCTGACCTTTGTCATGACAAGATGATCATGCAGAATTTTAAAAATGGTTGTGTCGCATACAATATGCAAATTTATTCTTCCTTAGTCGCGCATAGTCGAGAATATGCTTTTTTTTCAACTTATAAGTTCTAGCGGGGACACCTGGCTGATTCTGCCCGTCCTCGAGTGGCCTAGTTGACGATAGCTCAAAGCCTAATTATCTAATAACAATGAAACCCCGTATTTATACTAATTACGAGTCACTGAACACATTAAGATCATCCACTTAGAAACCTCCTTGTTCGGCGAACATAAAAACGTCAACCCTTATGTACATAGATATTTTCGGCAAACTTCGGTAGTGGATATTTTTCTTGTTGTATGACCAGTTCTGTAATAATTGCTATATCCTGGCAAAAAGGTTGCCTTGAGCCTGCCAGAAATAAGGCACGATTTTTTGCTCCAGCTTTTTCTAGAGTGACTCACGGATTATGCAATAAACATTTTTCGGCAGACATCGTAAAAATTTGTTAAAAAAATTAGTTAAATTTTTAATTTGAAAATCTGCTAAGAAAACGAAAGTAGGTAACATTGGACAGGGGACACAGCCAAAAAATTTAGGAAAGCGTGAAATGATGATTAAAAAATAAGAATAAAAAAAACAATAATTTTTGATAATCGCTGTCCGGCGAGAGTTTTCTAAGATTTTTGCTGCGAGTTATGGTAACTTTTTTAACTGTTTTTCAACAGCAGCTCTATTTTCGGTTTCATTAATTACACCTTTCTCTCCTACACATTGGGGGTATAAAAACTAGTGAAAGCGTCATCGGATATATATATGTATAATATGTACATATATTTGGAAACATCTACTTTTTGAATTCTCATGATCTCTGGTCACTTTCCACACGTTTTGACAAATTGAGAATAAATTCTGTTCTTCCTCCAGCAGATCCGATCTAGAAAACAGGTAAATCACACTTAAAAACTCATTTCTAATAAACGTTTCCGAAATTCACGATGGGAAAATCCCTACTTTACATCAAACTGTAGATATGTACATACGTGTATATACCGAATGTACGAGTACTTGTATGTAATAAAAGTACCTGTAATAGGGAAATCCTTGCGGTACATGCAAATCCATAGGCATAGTCGTCGCATTGAGATGGTGTGAGTGATGCGTGTGATGTGAATGATGTGAGTGGGGATGATGATGTGGATGGTGGTGGGTATGGTGGTGGTGGTGTGCAGCAGCCGCAATTTGATGATGGTGCGGGTGGTGGTGGTGATGCTGAGCCACTGCTGCCACATTCTGGACATGGGCTGCCGCCGCTGCTGCGAATCCAGCATCAGCACCGGCGGCTGTTGCTGCCATGGCATGATGGCCCAAAACTGCTGCCCACGGCGATGCCACAAAACCGCTGCCGGGATGATCCATTCCGGAAGACGCACACACCAGTTAAGCACGCACTAACTTTTGAGTATTTCAAGACGCGATTTTATTCTTATTTGATTTTGTGATTTAATACAGAATGATGTTTTGATTTATACTTTCACGAATGTGAAATTGAAATGCCATTATTATTGTATGAAGCGCACGCACTATTTATAAATCTTATTATTATTATTTTATTGCTCCTTTTTTGTTGTATTCTTAGTTTTCACAAGAACCGCTAGCGCTGTTTAGTGTAGCTTTCATTGAATAATATTTGAACGATACACACACTTGTACATTCAGATGTGATAAAAATATGCCTAAATACACATAACTGCATATACTCGTATATATACACATGCATATGCAAATATGTATGAATATTTATGATACAATAGGATATCCTCTGTCTTTAGCTAATAACCATATTTTGGCCAAAAGTCACAAACGCCCTTCGATTTGCCAAAGGCAACACAATTAGGCCAAAGAACGGCCAAAGAACGAATCGAATTGCCGACGGAATATTCGCACTGCCACTTCTACGTACACTTGCTACTATGTATGTACATTTGTATGCAAAGATGCGCGCCCGTCGTTTTTGTTGTTTATATTGAGTTCGCGCAATCGAGGGTTTTCTGCGCTGCACACTGCGGTTGAATTCGAACGCCTTTTTTCCGCGTTCACCTCTGCACGGCATGAAAATTGGCGATAAACTATCCGCCTCGCATCAGGAAACATGGTCGCCACTCATCTCATCAGGCGAAGCATCCAACGCGGCGGCGGTGGCTGTTGACTGTGCCCGTGTGGCAGCCAGAGTTGCCTCACTGCAGTTTCGTTTTAGCTGCAACATCGTTAGTGTTTGCTAGTCGTTGGTAGCTGTTGTTATTGCTGTTTTTGTTGTTGTAACTGGTGCTGGTGTTACCAATAATGCCAGCATCATCGTCGTCATCGTCTTCATCATCGTTCTCATTGCGGGATTTTTTGTCGATGTGTTTGCACGTACATACACGTATGCATGTATGTATGTGGCAGCTCACACAGTAGTCGTCGTATCGGCCGGCTCAGTGATCGGGCCAACAACAACGACGCTTGCAAGGTGGCCAATTGGCAATGTTGTTGCTGGTGGAGCATAAACCTGCCCCAACGAAGCGAAAAGGCCAGCCAGTTTGAGTTTGCAAAGACAGCAATAACGTCGATGATGCCGACTAGACGGGAGTATTATTCACAGCATCTCACAAGACAACACCACACGACGCACACAACACACAATGCACAACACAACAGAGCAGTGCACAGCGCAGACTACGGCCAACCACGCCGCAAGGCATAGCAAAGGCGAGACTAATAAAAAGCAAAGCAAAGCAAGGCAAAACAAAATAAGCAAAGCTCCGTGGCAGTCTTCTGCAACAATCGGCACTGCGAATTCGCTGCAACAACGAAGAGGTAGAAAACTGCCAGCGGCAAGGCCAGCTATAAACCAGTGATGTGCCAATAACTGCGCCACCAGCAGCACCTTTAACCGCCTTAACCGCAGCTCTCGCAGTCGCCTCGTCGCGAAGTGAGGCGTCGTTGGCTCAGGTGTGCACCTGACGTAACAAGCTTGTCGCTTGGCCAGCGAAGTGTTGTTGTAGCATTGCTCCAAGCAGAATCACGCCTCAAATCCACAAAAAAAAAGACGATTGTAATAACTTTTCGATCTATTTATCAAATTTCCCAACTTAATGCCGCTATAATGCGTACAATTTATTGGCGGATGATCAAATAATGTGTTTATGTGCATGGTAATTCGTAAGTGTGCCTGTGCACGTTCTCCACATTTGAAACAGACGCCAAACTTTCATTCACCCTTGGTACCCTTTAGAATATGTCAGAGCTGGAAGTAAGAAGTTAAGGGAGAAAAGGGATTTTACGGGACACGACAGGATAGAAAGAAAATTAGAAACTTGAAATATAAATCGCATCTCGAGTCAGGATCGGCAATGACCTCTTGTAGCCGTTCCACACCTCAAGAGATTTCAGACAAAGTGACTGCTTATCGTGTGATTTCTTTAATCTTCAGCTGAAGAGAAAACGTGCATCATCCCATAAGAATGTGTTTGTGTTGCCGATGATATTGATATCACTGACCTCAACAACCGCGCCGTGAGTTCGGCTTCCTCCAGACTGGATGAGGAAGCGAAGCGTGCGGGTCTGGAAGTGAGCGAGGGCAAGACGATATAACTCCTGTCATCAAATTAACGATTGGACACCCACGTCGCTGTTAAGTTGGAATCGTAGATAATTTCGTCCATCTGGGGACCAGTATTAACACCAAAAGCAATATCAGCCTTGAAATCTGAGGCATACTCACTCTTGCCAACAGGTGCTACAATTGAAGCCAACTGTCCCGCGAACTATTGGATTTTAGTCGCCTCTTACGACAGGCATGCCTTACCGCGGGTAAATTCTTGAGCCCCTAACCCGCAGGGGTTCCCTCATTACCATCCCATTGTACGGTGCAGAGGCATGAATGATGACAACATATGATGCGTCGGCGTTAAGAGTTTTCGAGTGAGCAGTTTTGCTTAAGATTATGGTCCTTTTGCATAGGCAATGTACGAGATGTATGCCGGCATTGACGTTGTGCAGCGAATTACGAGACAGTGGCTACGCTGGCTATGTCATGTCGCCCGAATAGAAGGAAGCACTCCGGCATTGAAAGTTTTCAATGCAGTTCACGCCGGAGGAAAGAGAGGAAGACGCCCTCTCCGTTGTAAGGATCAGGTGGAGGATCACGCTACATTTGGTATTTCCATTTGGCGTCAAACAACGAAAAGAAGGAAGGAAAGAGGCACTGTTGTTAGCTCGGCCATAATTGCGTAAGGGTATCTATGACGGTAAAGAAGAAGAATAAGAGCGAACTTCAAAAATTTTACCAGAAAAAGATATCAAAAAAACAGGGACTATATGAAACGCTATTAAGCCTGTGAGTCATATACAATTCAATAGTTTGTGGAGAGCGTTCAAAGCTCAGTCTAGGCACCACAATAAAGCGAGAATGGACTTAAGATCAGGCATAAAACTAGGTTGCAATGACCGGCACCACGATTAGGCTGGGTTTCTAGATCTTGTCTTCTCGCTTTCTTGGTTTGCTTACTAAAGTTGCATAATTTTATACAAAACTGACAAAAGAACATTAGATCACTTAACCCGATTTAAATGGCAATCAAGACACAAAAACAGGCTGGTTGAGTTTAGTGTTCATAAAAATACCCTAAATCGTGTAAAGATGTGCAGCGATGGCAAAAGCTTGAGTATTGTATTTTGAGTGTATCGAAGATATTTTTTAATTTACAAACAACCGTTAAGTGCTGTTTCAGTCGAGATATTTAAGCAATTTTTATTCTATCATCTATTTAGGTTATATTCATACGAGGTGTGACAATTGAGTAATGAGACTAACTCCGTAGAAACCGTATATTTCAAAATTATTCTACAACTCTGCGATCTCCATCAAAGAAGTGCCCTTGGGCAGCTATACAACGACTCCAGCACGTTTTTAATGCCTCGGAACATTTATGGCCGCCTGAATGTCCTCAAGCGACTCAAAATTGGTTCCTTTGACCACCGATTTTGTTCTAGGTAACAAATATAAAGCCACAGGGTGACATATCAGCGAATAAGGCGGTTGTCGCAACACGGCCATCCCTTTAGAGGCCAATTATTCGTTTTGGCAATTTTTCGAGTACTTGGCGATAGTAGACTTAATTAAAGGTTTGGCCCTGTGGTAGAAATTCTATGTGGATGAAAAATTTTATCGCGACGCGTTGCTCTTGATTTCGTTTTTCCATTTTCATGACGAGCACGACGAGCCCACGATTACTCAACACGACACTAGCAGGCGAACTAAAGCTAGGTTGCAAGGTTACCACAATCGCAGCAATATAATCAGTCTCATTACTTAATTGTCACACCTCGTAAACATTGCTACGTATATGTATATCTACTCACATACATACATACATATTTATAGTCGTACAAGTATTTATTTCGATTTCATACAAATTGATTTTTTAATCAATATATTCCTGTATCTTTGAGAGTTCCTAATCAAAAAACCCAAAAAATGCATATATGCATTCATACATATATACAACAATAGTATATGTGCATATGTATGTGAGCAAACAAAGAATTATTACGTGGGCACGAATTTGACAAGCAATGAAGCTGGAGCGCCACTTGTCACAGCATTACAATATAATAAATTCGTGATTGCCGCTAGAAGGAGCCTCCCTTCCCCCTCGAAAAAACCAAGAATAAATAAAATAAAATAAATAAATAGAGAACGAAGTCGAAGGAGGCGAAACTTACGCAAGCAGGCAGCTTTGAAAGGCTCCCACGGGAGCAGCTCACAAGTAAGCAATATCGGTAGGAAGTTTTTGTTTTTGGTTTTTTTTTTTTGGTTTTGCGGTTTTACCCGTCTCGTCTCGTCGCCTCTTGAAGCTCGATTCGTCTGCGTGGTGGTGGAGTGGTGGCGCAGTGACACAGTGGCCACAGTTGCAATCGAATGAATACCAGCAGTGAGTTGCAATCAATTGTACAATTCACATTGTGTGGATCGCCTGTGAAATTGAGATATTCGCTATGTTGCCGAATACGGAATCGTGCTGGGTCAATGTATTGTTTGTTTACAGTTTGCCGCCCCGTTAAAAAGACACCTCCACCGCAACGAGAGATGCTCGGTTGCACTGCTCAAGCTGCTCATTTCAAACACACGTACACGTACATATGTATATCTGTCTGTCTGTCTGGCTGGCTGTGTGTACGTTTGTAACCATGTGCACACAAAGTCTTACATGAGTTGACAAAACGTTCTATGGGACGTGGTTAGCGTGACTTTGTTGCTTTTTGCTTCTACTATGTGAGTATACTCGTACATACATATGTATGTATGTTTATTGGCATGTAGAAATGAATTGTGTATGCATATGTACATATATACTCGTACATATGTAAATAAA